GCATGCCTGAACGCAAATGCTAAATTTAGTAACAAGTTCCATCAAATATTCTAGCCTCCGGCCTGCTTCCCTTGTTGTTGGCCTGTTACTGTTGGAAAGCTTGATGATGACTGAGCCGCCGAGTTGAAGCCCAGTACATGACAAGTGGAACACTGCTTGCAGTCAAACCGCACAGCCATCCTAGCACGTGGTACTCGGACACCAAAATAGACTTGGTAATCATGCCTCTTTACAATGGCGCAAAGCCCCGCCATGATCGTATCATATCGTAAACTCGATGTTGTCTCTGTGGCTCTGTATTCGGAAGCTTCCTGAAACTGAGGGACCTTTCACAGTGGCTGCCAGCCCATGGAGCCTTCGGTAGTCGCAGTGCTTCAGCTGGAGTTCCGGCGGTAATCTTTTCCACGACCAGGTGCCTGGGGAAAGGCAGTGCACACAGTGAATACTTCATGTCTTGATACGTGCTGAAAAAGGCATGCCTCCGCACCATCTGCTGCGTGGCGACCGCACACTGTTGCAGTATACAATACAAAACGGAAAGAAGCAATCCGCTGACAGGCTAGTCATCCTCATTTTGCTGCCCATTGACCCAGCCGGGGGTAAGATCTTGAAGGCGATGCCTCCACAAGGTAGATTCAGAACGCAGGAGCTAAATAAACTTGCTGGCCGAGAGGTTGGATTTTGCGCTAAGATGCGGGCAATCCAGAAACAGCGAGGGTGCCAATATTTAGTGATTATGGCTACATGGTGATACATGCCTGCCTGCATCCAGAGCACAAGGGTTACAGAATCCCTGCATTTATGCCCCTGTATACGATCCCCATTGCAAGCAGTGGCCTATCTTCTCTTCATCGCGGCCAACACGAAACTCCACGACCCCCGTGTCCTCGCTGTACCCTGCATCCTGCAGCTGACTCTCTGAAGGAAGGCAGGCATGGGTGCACGTCTATGCTGGGGCTTTAGGGTTTACGAATGCACATCGATGGTAAGGTCTAGAGGCTTTAGACTCTGATGCACACGGGGCAGGGTAAGGCCTGCCGGGTGGCATATCCGCTAGTGCCACCATTGGACAGACTTGGAGACCCTATGAATAACCTATGGACCTATCGGCAAATGCATGCAGACAATCCACATGGCGATGTGAGCTGCGACATCTTGCAAGCGTTGGGCCACTGATTCTTGTTTTGCAGCACAGACCACGAAACTGCCTCTGATCTCCCAAACCTACCAATAAACGTTGATGTCCTTAGCCTGCTGCAGCAAATGGGCCGGCAATGCCTCGGTGCATGCAGATCTTGGTGAAACCCAGACCTCCCTTGGGCTTGTCGTCGTGTGTGAATTACCGGAGGAAGCAACGGAGCCCGGCCCCAGGCTAACATGCTTCGGGAAACTGATGCCTACCGAACTGAACGTAACCTTTGAAGGCTTCGTAGATAGGTGCAGCCCAAGCACTGCAGAGGTCTAGGGAAGCTATCCTTTACAAACTGCACATGCACGAGTGTGCGATGCCTAAAGTTGCTATAAGCCTTGAACTAAGAGTAGTAAGTGCAAAATCGCAGAGAAAACCTAAGCAGCCACAGCCGAACCAGTAAAGAACTCAGATGCTGTGCCCAAGCTGCGACAGGGCGAATGATGCTGCCTCTCTTTTGCCGAGGCGTGCCCCAGTTGGCCGGCATAGGTACGTCCTGGGCAACAGGTAGCCACAACCAAAATCTTTAATACTTGTGTTAAGTTGTGGTATATGTGATCATCGTATATCATAATAGTATTTAGTATGTTAGACTAGAGTCTCTTAGAGTGGGTCATCGTATGTCGTATGTGTGATCGTATGTTATGGTAATTGTCAGACGCATTGAATAGTAGAGCATAGCATAATGAAGCATAGTATACCATAGTATACTCTAGTCTAGTCTAGCCTAATCTCGGATAGTACAGTATAGTATGCACGGTAGAACAAAGCAAAGAATAGTGTAGTGAATTATTGCATAATCTTGAGGGTGTCTATATGTATGTATGTATGTATGTATGTATGTATGTATGTATGTATGTATGTATGTATGTTATGTATGTATGTATGTATGTATGTATGTATGTATGTATGTGTATATATATATATATCATAACTGGTTCATCCATGAAATTAATGATGTTTGTGCTCTGGCCCGAGCCTCGTCAGAGCTGGAGTCGTCGGCTTCAATGCACTTCCTTGCATCACAGGCTTGCATATAAGGGTTACTATAGCGGTTGCTTTGAGGGTCCTGTTAGGAATACTACGAGGACTTTCTTTACGGGAGCGGGTTTCCGGGTGTTGGGTTTCGACTCTGACAGCCCGACAACCCGGGCGAGGCGGGTTGAGGATTTCGGAGTCGTGCATGGCAACACTTCCTTCTGGGATGGCTGTGTGGACTGTCATTTATGCCTCCCTCCGGGCCTAAGCACCTTTCCTTTACCTGGTGGTGGCATCTTTGGCCCAGGATTCCTGATTTTCAGTCCCAACACCCTGCCAACTGTACTGGCTTAATTCGGGATGGGGTCGCAGTCAAGGGACTTGGGCTGCTGTGCCGGGAGAGAATCCTCGCATGCGAACCTGGGTTCCACAGTTCCAGGCTCACTCAGGCACCAAGAAACTATCTGAGCACGGATTCCCTTGATCCATCTTCTTGGCGGATGAGCCCGAGCATGCTGAGTCAGGAACATGTAACAAGGATCCGTCACCCACAGAAGTTCCTCTGACTCTAGATGCGCTCTTCAACCCGTCATCCTGACTGCCTTCAAATAAAATTGCCACACTGCCAAGCTCACGAGACCCTCACACCTCTGTCATGCTGGCGCTTACACCGAGTTGCAGCTCCACTCCCTTCGCGGGGCCGCCACACTCTACTGGCTCGGGGTCCACGGCACCAGCAATGTCATCGACCTTCAGAGAGCAGCACGATATGTAGTTGTATACAAAGCTCCTGTGTTGTAGAATATGCATGCGCATTTTCGTTTATCACACATTTTAAGGGGAATTCCTTTCCCGAAGCCTCGAGAAGGACCCCAACCTCGCGGCCTCACGACCTGGCCTGGCAGCGCGGCCTCAGAACCTCGCGGCCTCACGACCTCGCAGACCGCTCGCAAAAGACAAAGTTCAGAAACAAAGAGCAAACCGCTCGAAAGGGATCAGAGAATCTGAGAAACAGGAAGCAAACCGCTCAAAAAAAAATACAAGTGGTTGAGAAACATGGAGACTGTTTGAGAAACAAGGAGCGATAGAGTTTTTGAGAAACAGGCAGCAGACCGCTCGGAAGGGGCTAGAGTATTTCTGAAACAGGGAGCAAGCCGCTCGAAACGGACTAGAGTAATTGAGAAAGAAGAAGCAAACCGCTCGAAAATGGACTACAGCATCTGAGAAACAAGGAGCAAACCCGTCGAAAAACAGTAGCGCATTTGAGAAAAAGGGAGCAAACCGCTAGAGGGAAGAGAACATGTGAGAAATAGGAAGCAAAACGCTCGAAAAGCACTAGAGTATTTCAGAAACAAGGAGCGAACCGCTCGAAAGAGATTCGAGTAATGACGAAACCGTTCGAAACAAACCGGGGTATTTGGGAAACAAGGAGCAAACCGCGCGAAAGGGAACAGAGTGCTTGAGAAACACAAAGCTAACCGCTCCATCGCGATCAGGGTATTTGAACAACAAGGAGCAACCTGCTCAAAGAGGATTAGAGTACTCGGGAAGCAATGGGCAAGCCACCCGTTTGCGTTTCTCAAACACTCTAGTCCTTTTCACGCGGTCTGCTCCGCGTTTCTCAATCAATCTAGTGCCTTTCGAGCGGCATGCTCCCTGTTATTTTCGAGCGGGTTGCTCATTGTTTTGGTTCCTTTCGGGCGATTTGCTCTCTGTTTCTCGTATTTTCGGGCGGTTTTTTCTCACACACTCAAAACTCAAATCCCTTGCGAGCTGGCTGCCCCTTGTTTCTCAAACACTTTTGTCTTTTGCGAGCGGCTTGCTCCCGGTTCCTGAAATACTCTAATCCTTTCCCGCGGCTTGCTTCCTGTTTCTCAGGTACTGTAGTGCCTTTCGAGCAGTTTGCTCCCTGATGCTCACACACCTGTCCCTTTCGAGCGGTTTGCTCCTGTTTTTCAAATTTCAAAACGCAAGTCCCTTTCGACCGGTTTGCTCCGGTTATTTTCGAGCGTTTTGCCTGCTGTTCCCAAGTACTCTATTCCCTTTCAAGCGATCTGCTTTGTGTTTCTCAAATACTCTAATCCCTTTCGAGCGGTTTACTCCCTGTCTCTCCTCTACTTTAGTCCCTTTCGAGCTGTTTGCTGCTTGTTTGTCAAACACTTCTGTCTTCTGCGAGCGTATTTGAGAAACAGGGGACAAACCGCACCTGGTCGCACCTTACCTCGCGGCCTCGCGCCCTCCTTGTGGCTCTGGCTTGTCCGGTCCATTTTACAACTTCAGTGTGCGCGCGCGCGCGCGCGCGTGTGTGTGTGTGTGTGTGTGTGCGTCATACATACATGCATGCATGCATGCATGCATGCATGCATGCATGCATGCATGCATACATGCATACATATGTATGTATGTACGTATGTATGTATGTATGTATGTATGTATGTATGTATGCATATCTCATGTATTCAGAAGAGAAACAACAGATAGGTTATTTAAAGTACATTGGAGCAAGTTCGGGTATGTTGCAACTACAATATTGTGGATATTGCTGTGGGTGCTGTCTTTCCCGGCTCAGGCCTCCAACTGCTTCAAGCTGCAACAGTACATGGCCGCAGGGCGTCCATCTGGCCTGTTCGAGCGCTGAAATCTGGAGACCATTAAGGAACCCCAACTGCCTAAACGCTTGTAGTAACATAGTCGCCCTTCTACTAGCTGCAGCCCATAACAAACCCTGAAAAGGCACACGCAATCCTACACTAATAGACAAAATACTGGGGACATTTAGACTTACACTTCGAGTCGCGGCAGGGCCATGACGGGTGGCCTTGCAGGCTTTATGTCAACGGCTCAGACAGGAATCTGCTTCTTGCGGCCCTAGCTTCTCGGTGGAGAGGCTGCCGCCAGTCTCCTCTGCAGCTGCCGTGGTGTCGGCCACGCGGCTGTGCGAAGGCACGAAGTCCAAGTGAGCAGGTGCGGGGATAGCGCCAGGATCCCCTTCGGCGGATTGCTCCCCAACTTCGCCCAATAGTGGACTCTCCAGCGTCACATCTGCCATTCCCAGTGAGTCGAGGTGGACTCTGGCTGATTTGCCGGATGCGCTTTCAAAGCTTCGCGGCTTGTCGAGACTTTGTGCCCGGGGTGTGTCCGAAGTTGTGCTGACAGCTCCATCTTTGACAGTGTCGTCCCAATCAGTCGAGCCGACTGCCACAGCATCCGGCTCGTCTTCAACCCATGTTGATGGGGTCTCACTCTGAGACTGACCAGTTTCGGCGTTGGGAGCACCAGCTTCCATGGCAACATCCTCCGGGCAGAGAAAGCTGTTCTTTAGCAGAAGCAGAATGAAGGGGAAGATCAAGTGAGGGGAAAAAGTTGGTCTACCCTTGGCACAAGTCTGCCGAAATAAAATATGAGTATTACATGCCAAGCTCGAAAACATGCCTTCAGACATATCGACACCATACCTGGACTGGAAATGCCTTGCCTGGCCAACCTGGCGCCGATCTGCGTCAGATTCTGCTGGCAGCAAAGGCTGCAAACTGTCGCATTCCTTGGCTGAGACTACGCTGCTTCTTCGTTCTTGGTTCAACATGTCCTAACCTCGGATCCAAACTTACATCCATCCTGGGTTGCAATGCCCGGCTTGACCCCACCGCATGACAAGAAGACCCGACAGCCGTCTTGCCAGATGTGACAGGCAACAGGCGTCTGCTTGAAGGAACCGGGCGCAGGACGGTCGTTGGACCTGCGCTCCACCCAAGAACGGGAGCTTCGTGATATCATGCTTCTAATTCTTCAAATTCTTCAGATCAACGTGTACAGCTTCTGTAGTAAATTCCTGCAGCGCACCGGCACCCACTTCAGCAAACCGTGCCAAACCGAAGACTTCACACAGCCGACAAGTCATGGGAAAACCTACGTACTCGGCCAAACTGTCTGTCCAAGCTTCTCGGTGGAGAGGCTGCCGCCAGTCTCGTCTGCAGCTGCCGTGGTTTCGGCCACGCCGCTGTGCGAAGGCACGAAGTCCAAGTGAGCAGGTGCGGGGTTAGCGCCAGGATCCCCTTCGGCGGATTGCTCCCCAACTTCGCCCAATAGTGGACTCTCCAGCGTCACATCTTCCATTCCCAGGGAGTCGAGGTGGACTCTGGCTGATTTGCCGGATGCGCTTTCAAAGCTTCGCGGCTTGTCGAGACTTTGTGCCCGGGGTGTGTCCGAAGTTGTGCTGACAGCTCCATCTTTGACAGTGTCGTCCCAATCGGTCGAGCCGACTGCCACAGCATCCGG